AACTCCCGCAAAACACCCTTGGCCTCAGGACCAACAAGCTTCAAGAGAATAGCGGTCTTACGAAAGTTAATGGTCAGGTGCATGGCCTCCAGCGTGGTTAGCAAGAGCTCAAGATCCTGGATACATTTCCGAAAGACCGTAGCACTGGTAATGACCCAGCTGCCCCACACATCGTCAGCAAAGAGTGTGAGGGTGCGAAGCACCCACTCAAGATCCCGGAGAGTAATCAGCTTTTGAAGGTATGTCACGGTGAAGTAACACCACAAGAAAGGAGCAATGCGACATCCTTGCTTGATGCCATTTGTTGTTTGTGTGCCACCCACATGGCTTCCTACAGCAAAGCGATATGTCGAGTCCTTGTGAAGCTGCTGAATGGCATTTATAACCGCAGGCGGGACCCCATGCTGTGCCAGTGTTTCATACACCAGTGGCCGACAAACACTGTCGAAAGCCTTGCTGAGATCAAGCGAGAGGCTGCAACCGCCAATGCAACGGCCCTGCTTCTTTCCCTGTTGCTTCTGAAATCGGTTGATCACGTTTTCCTTGAGCATTCGAGAAATCTCCGCAAAGTGAGCATGGACACGAAGCAAAGCATCAGCCGTTCCTCTGTTTTTTGTGTACGCAAACTGTGGTAGCGGAGCAAGAAGCGTTTGCAGTGTGGTGAGCAGCTGTTCCCGCAACACCCCAGAAAGAGCTTTACTAGAGGGACACTGCAAGCCTATGGGTCGCAGGTCAGAAACAGCAAGCGGCTTTTTATTGAGCTTAGGGATCCATGTGACGTGGCAGTCCCTCCAGTCCCCCCGCAGCGGCTCCTGTGCCGGGGCCCGAAAATGAGCACGTAGCACCGGGCCCAGTACCTGACTCACAGAATCTTTGCAAAGGCGCCACATGGCAACAGGTGCCACATGTTTGGGTACGGCCTTGCGAAGGCCAAGCTTGCCCAGTTCAGTGGCAAGGTCCGTATCTGTGATATGCAGATCGTGTTCAGTGAACCACAGCTGATCCACATCAGGCAGCGCTGCAAAGGTACGATTGCCGTATTTGACAATGGCCTCCAGCTCTTGAGGAGCTGTGAGGAGGCATCCATCGGCCCCTAGCATCCTGGATACACCCCTAAAGGAGCGCGGAGCCAGGCGGCGAACAACTAGGTGCAGGGCACGCTGATCACCACGATCAGCAGCATCAGCAGCGATCTCAACCTGTTCCAGGAGCATTTGTCGCTTTAGTTGTCGGCTCTGTGATCTGAGTGCAAGGGAGGCTTGCCGGAAGCGGACAGCCGCACGCCACTTGAGCCACACCACCGGCAAGGTGGCGTGTGCTGCAGCCTTCATTTGCGCATAAAGGTTCCAGGTACGTTTGGCACTGGCTTGATATTCCGGCCTAGCACTGAGCCGCTGATCCTGTCGCGGTCGGGCAGGAAAGAATTCCCTTGCAGCCTCAAGAAGCACATGATTGACAGTTGCCTGTGCAGTGGCAGGGTCTGCAGGAGTGTACCGAGCCATGGCTGAGCGTTGCGCAAAGAGCCTGAGCAGCAGGCGTCTGCGATGCTACTTCATTTTGCAAGGTTTGGACGTCACAAGCCGCGTCCGCGCATCGGCGCTGGGGCTGCTGCTGCCGATAGGGCTGCAGACTGATCGTGGCCTGCACTGGCCAGTGGCCAGCCTGCCGCCAACCCGCTACGGGAAATGTGGTGAGAGGGGAGGCGTGCTTAGTCAACCCTCGGGAATCAGAGGCGCGTGTGATTACATAATCGATTTGTGTTGTCGTGCCAGAGCAATGGTAAGTCTGCCAGGGCTTGGCATGCCACGTGTTGGCAGCCACCAAGTGATGCTCAACGAGCAGTTGCTGCAAGGCGGCACAGTGGTTTGGGTGCTCTTTGCTCGGTGCTGCCGGTCCTACAGTCCTACATGGGGTGGTTCGGGCCTAAGGCAGGCATTAAAGTCCCCTGCAAAAATGACATGGTGTCGGGTGGGGGTTTTGGTCAGGATTTTCCCAAGAGAGGCAAGAATTTCACCCCGAAGCTTGTTATTGTCCATGGTGGAAAGTTGAGTACGCCACACATGTTGGTATAGGGCCAAGATTGTGATCGGCAATCCCGTAGGCTTGTAGACCGCCTGAACATGCAACAGCCTACCAGCATGAAGCTCCTGAGCTGCAATGTCGCAGAAGTGGGTCTTCGCCAGCATAATCAGTAGCCCGCTTGACCTGTCAGGTTGCGCTCCCTCAACATACCCGGTGGAGTGGACGCATTGCCATCCTCCACTGGTATAGTCCGAGATTTGTTGCCAATGTGTTTCTTGCAAGATAATTAGCTGAAAGGCGGGATGATCGGAGAGCTCCAGCCATGCCAGCAACTCTTGGTATACTCCTCCTCCTAAGCCACTGGTGTTCCATGACAGCACACGAAGATCAGTACGCTGAGCACGTGGTGCACTGCGTGAACCCTGAGATCGAGTCTGTCGTTGTTTGGGCTTGGGGAGACAAAGAGCCTGAAGGGTACTGCTATCATGCCAAGCGCCCCTATACCATGTGCCACCATTGAGGGATCTAGCAGCCCTACCCTTAGCACGACGAAAAGCCCTTTTAACATGTTTTGGGAGACCCTCTTGAACTGCTTGCGGGAGTGCCTCTCCGCGTGTCTTCCCCGCCGAGGCGGGTCCCACGCCTGGCGCGGTATCAGGCGTAACCCTCGCCCCTCCTGCCTCTAGTAGTCGCTGTGTCAAGACAATTGCAATGAGGCAGGTGCCGGATTTGGGACCGGCTCGGCACACAGGTGAGAGTCGGGTTGGCTTACAAGGGTTCAATCTAGTTGGGAAGATGGGCGGTGTCTCATGGCCTGGCTTCCATGGAGCCGGGGCATTGCACGATGCCAGCCGGGTCGCAGCCAGCCGCTGCGTGTTCCTGATGGTTTTAGGGTGTCGGGAGGATTTAAAGCATTTAAGGCACGGGCCAAGGGGGTGCAAGAAGGAAAGGGTGAGGTGCTTAGAGGAGCAGAGGCTCCTCGGCCGTCCGTGTGGCCAGCGCCAAGACCAGCCTCGTCCACGGCTAGTCGGACACGTCCGGAGTGCCATTGGTGTGTGAGCTGGAACTCAAAAGTCGCCCACCTGTGCTGGCGCTCCTCTGTGAGAATAGCTCTCGCCTGCTGCTGCACATTGCTCCAGCCTCCTTAGTTGAGTGCCTTTCGCATGGAGCCGACACGGGCCCCCACCTGCCTTGAGCCCAAGTCTGGCGTGACCTCCCTGAGTTCACACCGGAAGAGGCAGAGCAGTCTCTCGCGGGCCGTCTGGAGATCAGAGCCCTCCAAGACCAAGCTGGTGTCGGACCAGTAGCCGGCCCCGTCGTCCTCCGATGCATGGTCACCAGCTTCGCCGGCATCGCCGGCATCGGCGTCGCCGTCGTCATCTCGATCAGTGCCTGGGTCTGCCATGCTTGCATCCTCATCGTCGGTTCCATCGCTGTCATCGGTGTCACTGCTGTCAGAGCTGGAGGTGAGTGTCCAGCGGCCATTTGGCAGATGCGGCCCCTGCAGACGTAGTTCCTCGCGGTGGCCCCGGTCGTTGAAAGTAACTTCCACCGGCCATCTGCGTTCTGGTTCAGAGGAGGAGCCGCTTCCCCGGTCGGGGTCAACTGCATGTGCTCGAGGGTGCCGTCCAGACTGAAGCGCACTAGGCTGGTTAACCGGCACTGGCCGAGGTGGGCCAGCAGGCAGCAAATCCCTAGCCGTAGGAGGCCCATCGCGCTGCACATCACGCGGAGTTCGCTCCGTCGCTTCCTCTGCTTCAGTTTCAGCTCCCAAGGCTCCGTCAGCACTGTCGCCACCATCGCTGATGCTCATACGAGCGCTTCACCGAAGAGAAACCGAAAGCCCGAACACCAACACCAAGAAACACAAGACGCCCAGAAAAAGCCAGGGCGCTCCACTGTGAGCCGTAGGGGCTTCAGGGAGGTTGTTCATCATCATCATCATCATAATCATCATCACCATCAAATGACGGGCCCTACCATTGCAGAATGAACCATGGGAACACGGCATTCGACGTCGGAAGATGTGTTGCAGCATGCTATGCTTCTGCCGACCATTGCATTGAATGTGCCACTCATGATTCCAACCGACTATGCAAACTACACTTCGGTGACCTTGCTCAATCCACCATGGTGTACAGCTGTGTGGAGATTAAGGTTACATTACCAAGATCTTTCGCAAAAAAAACAGCATGCGGCAACTTAAGCTAACATGTCTTCTTGAAAACTCATGCAGTTTCAGCAAAGGATGCAACTGGATTTCATCAGAAGCGGAAGGTAGGCGCGTGTAGGGAGGCAAGAGTGCGGCAGAAAGGATCAAGCAAACCAAGTCGCACAAGTGAGGGGAATCGAGCGACCCAAGAACAGTAGGGTAAAACTTGGTGGCTGTATGTGGACAGGTTCACGCGGACCAAATGGTCCATGTTGCAGTTTGCTTTGACCAAGCTGCAAATCTCGAGATTCAGCAGCTTTGTCGATTTTGTCGCTTCAAAAAGTTGCAGGACACGACTTTTGTCCTCGAAATCGTTTATAGTGTAGTCACCGCTCCACGTAAATCCCAATCAATCCGTGCCGTTGAAGCAGATTAACCTCGCAATCAGGGTTGGGTAGTGTTCCCGAGACATCATATCAGCACGAGCACGTACTCGCTCTGGCATGTCTGAGATGTTGCCTTCCAAAAATCTACGTTGTGCGAAATTGGAATCTGCAGGACTCGAAGGGTAAGAAGGGAGGTAAAGGTGCTGCCGACTGCCGACATTCGACATGTTTTCTGGGGCCCCGGTTGTGAGCAGTGTGTGTGCAAGGTTTCGCGAAAGGAGGCGAAAGCAAAGGCGAGGGAAACAGGCACGTGTCGTTGCTGCATACCAGCCGCATACCATAGGGACATGTACTTCCAGGAAAGCAGATGCTACGTGTACACCTGAGCCTTCTGGTTGGTCTCAATGTATGCTGTATGCTCTTTTGCTGCATCTGAGCACATGAGGCCCAGCCCGAAGACCGTGGCAGAGGTGGAGGCCGAAATGGCGAAGGCGATGCATAGGGATGCTGTCCATTGCCCGCAAGCAGTGTGCTGCCAGGGCAAGGGCAAGATTGAAAGGGTGAAGCGAAGCCCAGACTCCGGAGCCAAACAGCCCATCGAAACGAAGGGCGAGATTTGCCAGGCCTGGCCCAGAGTCAAATTCAGTGGTAGTGTGAGCCTATGGGCTGCGAAGGTGCACAAGCACAGCAGCATGGGCTGTGCCGTGGTGTCCATGCAGTCCGCCAGCATGCGGGAGGCCATGTTGTTTCGTGACACTACACATGACACCCTTCCCTCGGTGTGCAGGCCATCATGAACTTCGCTGAGCAGAGGCCGCTAGAGCAGGAGGGGCAAAATGCAGACCATGACCAGAATCGTCAGGTTTGGCCGCAACGCTGCGGGCCGTGTCCAGATGGACATCGGCGACGTCGGAAGCCCAAACAAGCGACTTTTAGCGATTCCGGAGCTGCTCGAGACCCCTGCAGGTCAAAGTGCAGCTGAAGCGGCACACAGACAAGCAGACGAAGCGAGAGGCCACGGGACGGCGAACGCTGGATATCCTCGCCTGTGTCCCACCGCAACGATAGGTCGTCACAGATATCTTTGTTGCTTGGGGCCACCAGCAAGAAAAGGTGCGGGCGCTGGGCCATGGGGCCGTGGTACCGCATGCACCGCGTCAGCCTGGAGCCTCCCAGCCTGGGCTTCCAGGACTCCCCGCTTACGGTGGAGGACATCGCAGAGCGCTTCGACCAGCTCTACCAGGAGGCGGCCTGCGGATGGAGAGCTTTCGCTCTCAGTTGGGGCACGCCTTGGTTTGCAGGCTTTGAAGTCGCCTGCAGCATCTCGGCAAAACCGGGTTCTTCAGCCGCTTTGCGTCGCTTCGCGTGAGTTCGCGTGCTCCAGGCAGAGACTCCGGCTTCCCAGGCGGCAAAACCAATTTCCATCTCTTCCATCTCTGTCCTTCCATGCTGTTTTCAGGCGCCTGCCTCAGCTCCGCTTACAGCGCAGCTCGGGCAGGCCTGTCGCTGTTCTTTTCCTCCTAAAGAACTGTGACAAGCGTCTGCGCTTTGCGCTTTGCAGGCGCACCCGCTTCTGGGTTCCGACCCCAGTCACAGCGAACGGCGCGACGTCGCGGGAGCTCGACACCTGACAGGTCCTGGCATGCGAGTTCCTCCTCCGCCGCCCCAGATCCCGGGGATGCCGCAGGCCTGCATGCCCTCGGGTTCTGGTCTTCAACCTACCACCAACCCGTTGTTTGTGTGTGAGGTGCCGCCTCACGCACATGCGGTTCCACAGGCGAGCTGTTGCCAGCCGTCGCTCGCGCGCTCTACGAAATCACTGCGCTGGACGTGCCTGCAGGCGCCGCACGCACATGCTCCGCATGCTCCGCCGCCGGGGAACCCGTACTACAATGCCCCGCCCTCGGAGCCGCCGAGCAGCCGCCGAGCAGCCGCCGAGCAGCCGCGAGCTGCGCGTTTCGACGGAGCTGCTCCTTTGAGGCGATGTGCAACATGATGAGCAATCCTGCGGTCGGCTCAGAGCGTGCCCGAATGGCCGAAGGGCCGCTTAAGGGCTCTCTCTGCTCTCCGTCGTGCCTAGGCAGTGAACCCGTATCTGCATCAGCAGCCGAAAGCTTAGATTGCTTAGATCTGGTGACAGGACGCGCGCACGCTCCCTCAGCACCCAGACACAGCCCAGTCAGGCAACGCTAATTTCTCTGAGGTTCATGGCCCAGCAGGCAGCAGTGAGCTCGGCAGCGTTCGAGTGTGCGTGGATGGTACAGGTTGGCTGAGCTCAGGCCTATGCCGCGTACCAACAGCAGCTTCAGCAGGCGGATGCCGCGGATGCAGAGAAGCCGAGGTGCAGACATCCGCAGACTGATGTCCGCAGGCCGCACAGCATCAGCAGCTGATGCAAATGTCCTGAGCTCTTTCTTCTCCGCTCTGTGCATCTCCGTGCAGTGCCGCACGCAGAGTTCTGGCGTTCTGACGCTCAGGTATGGAGATCCGAAGGGTGGCAAGTTCGGCAAGGCCCGGCTTTGGCACGTTGCATGGCGTTGCCCTTGCAAGATGTTGCCGTCTAAGGGTAAGGCTGCGGGTCAGGGGCTGAGGCTGAGTTTACCTTTGCCTGAAGAAGAGCCTCGTCAGTGCAAAGCATCGAGGTAAGGATGGCAAGGGCAAGGACGGCAAGGAGGGCAAGGAGGGCAAGGGGAAGGATCCCATGGCCGAAGGCTAGCGTCGACGAGAGGACCCTCATGATTCAGTGATGCTTATTATCCGCTTCGGAGGGGCGCCTGCCTACGCTGCAGTCCCTGCTGCCGCTGCCCCGGCCGTGCATCCGGCGCTTTTGACTGTGAAAGTGCCTTGAAGCTGATGCGGCACTTCACATCTGACAGGTGCCTGAGCAGGCACCCGAGGTGCCGCTCCTCAGCACACGGCTTCCTTGCGCCGGGCTTGCAGTGATCAGGTTGCTCCAGCGCCAGCGGAAGCTCCGGTGGCAGCCGCGCCGGCTGCGGCCGCTGAATCGGCTGACAGCGCGGCTCCGGCCGATCCGGCTTCTGTTCCCGCCACTGTGCGTCGACCTCAAGCGCACAGGGTAGGGTAGCAGGGTAGCGAAAGGACAGCGAAAGGATGCCTTAATGGGGGGAAGGGCCGATGGCTGCCGCACAGGCCGGACTTTACCCCTGCGAAGCCGCGGCTCCTGCAGATCGTGGATCCAAACAGCCGCCTGGCGGAAGAGTTAAGACACGAGTCGCTGAAGCGCTGAGCCGAGTCAACGAGAGGTGGGAAGCCCATCGACACCATGGGCATGAACTTCGTCCCGTGCTTGCCCCAGGAGGTTGCCAGGCTTATCTTGTGTGTGATCCCTCTGGGGTTCAGGCGGAAGCCATCCACACCGCTGCAGATCACCAACCCAAACACCGGGGAGGCCGCGCTGTGGGCCCTTGCGCCCCGATAGCTTGCCTTATGAAGCATACACTGAGTCATACTGCTTGAGGCTGTGGCTATCGAGACCAAGGGCTGAGAGCAGTTTGGTCTCACTTTGCGCCGGGCGGTGTTGTGTTCCATGATAGCACCTACTTACTCCTTTGTGAGCGCATGGTCCGGCGCTGTGCACAAGTGGCGTAAATGAAGCGACTGGGCTAACGGGGTCTGAAGCAAGGTTTCCCTGACAGCTCAAGTTCGAAAATCGCTTGTTCAGAACTGCTCTGCCGAACGGTGGCGGCATCAACCCTGCAGCCCTGAATGTGTTTCGGTTGGCACGCGGCAGCCTGCCGTGGTTCCGATTTGAAAGACTGTGAATGTCCCTTTTGAGTTGCCCAGTGCGTGTAATATAATCTAGTCCCAGACGGATGTAGAGTGTAGACAGTGTAGACTGTCGGCGAAGAAGCGTAGGATTCGAACTTCTGGTTTCCTTGCGAGCAATGTCTCGAGTCTGGGCACTCAGCAGAGCAGCTTCCAAGTGTCGTGGAGCCTCGGCTCTGCGGCACTGCACCGGATTGCTTTGGTCTGCGTGTACAAGACGGCACAGTCCTTGAAGCCCTGCTTGAAGGGCCCCAATTACCCAGTGCTCTCAATGCTCGCAAGCTGCCGCAAGCTCCCCGCGAGGTACGCTGGAAGCAGCCCAAACAGGATTTCTGCAAGTGGCCCAGTGGCCTCTCGTCAGTCTTGAGAGGTAGGCGAGGGAAAACGGCCTCAGGCCGGAATCCCTACAACGACGCTCGGATTCAGTCGGACTCGATATAACATGCAGAGCTTCCAGCTGTTAGAGTGCGTGGACTGGGCCGGTCTGTTGGCCTTGCAAGCCCGATTGCAGCCCGATTGCCCTTCGAGCTGTCTGAGGTGACTGGGCTTTGCAATAAGGCGGCGTGTCCTTTGGCAAACAGCCAGTGACCTGATAGGTTCAGCATTGGATCCCGGATGCACGAATTGTAGTTGCAGCTCGGAGAGGTATGCCACAATTCTGGAAGACGAGGGCGTGAACTACCTCTACATGAAAACGGCCAACTTCCAAGAGGGAAGCCAGCACCAGCCTTCGGTCAAGCCAGCCGCAAGACTGTTTGCGATTGCGCCGTCACAAGTGCTGCATATCTGAGGTGGAGAGAGCTCACTCACCCAAGAATTTGTGGGAGAGAGTCAAGCTCTCCAGGACTGGTCTCTGATGTGCGCACCCGCACCCCGAGCGGTCCGAGCGTGTCCGTACCAGCACCTCAAATCGCTTCCCGCTGCCGCACTTGGCTCTGCCGTGCTCGTAGCCGGACCCAGAGGGTACCCGGTTACCGAAAGGCGCAAACGGCGTGGGGTTTGAATGTGGAGGTCTTCGCAGAAGCTTCGGAAGGGTTTTTGAGGCTTCGGTTGTGAGAAGTTCGGAGCCGGATTCGCCAAGTCTGTGCAGTCGAAACGTGAACATTTTCACTACCACGCGGATGTGACTCTAATTCGAGGCCGTCCACTTTTATGGGAGATTCGCAGCTTGTGTTGTTTGAGGGACTGAAGCCGAGATTTCTGATGGTTTACGTGTCGTTCAAACTTGCACCCCTTGCAGGCATGACGAGCATTGATAAGGTGCGGACGCAGAGCTTTGCCGGTCGGATCAAAATTACAGGGCACAACGAGCGGGCAGCCGGGCAAGCCAAGAGCATGAGAAATCATCGAGCGTTGTGTGTTTAGAAAGGGCGTGTTCCTCGCTTGAAGCAAAGATGCCTTGGCCAGGACAGTTTCTCGCTGAGTGCCCTCGGCCACCAAGCGCAAAGCCAGCGCTTGTCTGCACCTCACCACTCCATCTCGTGCGTCAGCCGAGATGCACGGCAGCTGCTCGGTCAAGATTTGAGGGACAAAGGCGAGGGTGCCGCTGCGGAGCAAGCCGTCGTTGGCCTTTTCAGTATCGCTGTGACGGCTCACCCGCTTCGCGAGTGACTTTGCTTTGCTAGTCGTCCAGGAATGTGTTCATTACGGAGCACCATATCAAGCCAAACCGCTTGGGGCGAGAGTCACCAAAAGTGGACACGGTGAACTTGCCGTCCACGCTAGACACGAATCTGCAGCTTGGCAAAGTTCCTCTGTCTTCGTCAGCAGTCCGGAGGTGTGTGTGCCTACGGCCGAGAAGCGCATGTGACATTCGTGACCGCAGGGCAACGACGACTGGCCTCGGATATGGGGGTAGGTCGGATTTCACCGCTCAGAAGGTGGATCCGGAAAGCGCCTCGGCAGACAGAGAAGGCGAAAGAACCGGAGAGCCCTAACCCTAGACCTGCTGGAAGGCGGAAGGGAGGAAGGGAGGACGGGAGGAAGGGAGGAAGGGAGGAAGGACGGAAGCGGGAGCGTTTCAGGCCCAAGATCTTTACGGGTCAAGATGTTCTCTTGCTTGGCGTGTGGCCTGCCGTTCAGTCTGGACGGGCCTGGGTAAGACGGAGAAGAGAGACACAGAAACGACACAGCCCATTCCATCCGGGGCTTGTCCCTTGCAGGCATCCCCACCAACGATGCCATGAACCTTCTGCCGGATGGTCAGCAGTTCAAGTACAAACGGGAGCCGAAGATCGTCATCGGCACTGTGCCTTCGGCTGCATGAGGATCATTGCCCCTCCGCTCTGCTCCGCTCTGCTCCGCTCTGCTCCGCTCTGCTCTGTTCGAGGAGCCCCGCTTCAGCTTGAAGGAGTCCACCCTTCTGAAGACCCACAAGGCCGCCTTCTTCGGCAGATCCTCGCCGGGACCCGCCGCCGTGGGCGATCAGCCCCTCGGACGACAAGCTGTACACGTCAGGTTTACAACTGAACCTCCCGCTCTTCGTTTCCGTTCACATGTTGGAACTCACCAGACGTCAGGTTTGGTCCAAAGTTCGAGGCCACGAAGCCGCGCATGGCGGCGGCCTTTCCCTTCGCGCCGAGCCCAGCCGAGCCAAAAAAACGAACGGAGTGAACGGAGCGGGGGAGCCGGGGAGCGCTTCCCTTCATTAAGTAATGTATACGCCTTTTCTACAAAGTCGATGTAAAAAACATATACATTACAATCATTACAATGTACAGAATGTGCAGCATTCCTTCTCCCTTTCGCTTCCGCGTCTTTCAACCGAGGCTCACAAGACCAAGCTTGTTTGGCCAGGGGTCTACAACAACCCACCCGAGGCCACGGCACGGGTGTTTTCTTCTTGGCCCTTGGCCGGAAGTCCTTCGATCGAGAATGACTTCAGGAGTTGCTTTGTTGTTTTTCCTCTGTTTTTCGTGTACCAGAGCAACTACAAGTGTGGCCAAATGTGACATTCTCCTATAAAGTCACATTGTTCGCACCTTTCTTCACACTTTGCCTAACTCCTCGCATCCTGTTATTTGCAGCACATGGTGCTAATCTGGTCCCCGCATCACAGGATGCCGGTGGTGCGGTGCCTACTTTTCATCCCAGTTGATCACATTTGTCAACCCACCCTCTCGTTGAAAAGCAGACAAGCAGAAAACATGCCCCTCGTTTAGTGCTGTTTAGCAGAAAGCAGGTGCGGGCTTGCAATGGTGATTCCAGTTCAGAATCACTCGGCGACCTTTCAGGAAACAAAAGTGCGGCCCCCCGCCTGCCCCATGGTTGCCCCACCACCCTCACTGTGGTGTGGTGTGGTGTGGTTGGTTGCTTCCCTCCTCCCGGTGGTGTGGTGTGGTGTGGTCGGGGGGTGGTCCCCCCCTGTGGCATGGTGTGGGTTCGGGCTCGGGTTTTCTTGCGGTGCTTCCCCCCTGCGTTTTTGGGTCTGCTTTGGATGCTTGCTATACTCATCCTTATGATGATAATTGATAATGATGATGATGGGGACTATGATGACTTTCATCATCATCATCATCATGAATTCAATCATCTTAATGTTTCTTTGGTTGGTCGCCGGGTAGTTGCCATAAGGTTGCAATGGGCCAGCTGTCTCAGGGATCGGGCCTGTCAGGGAACACAGTCGGCATGTTTGGGACGCGATCCTCGTGACAGTTGACGGCTTTGGCGGCCTCAATTTGTGCTGCCACACGGATCGGGTGGGGTCGGCGAACCGAGAACCGGGATCAGATAATCATAATCATATGTCTCCTAATTATCGGTCTGGTGGGTAGGAATTAGGAGATCAGTTTCGCGATCGTTGGAACAGACTTGATCTATCTTTTCCGTGGCCATTTTGGCGATAGCCGATCGGGCCATACCGAAAAATTCGGCGTGGGAGGTGAGATTGAATAGGCTCGCTCGATTGCAGCCATGTCGTTCCCTCCCGCTGGCTTCGCTCAAGGTCGGCAGATGGCGGCCCCGGTGGCTCCCCAGTTCGGGTTGCCTCGCCGGCTTGGTCAGCCTGAGAATCCGGGAAACTGGGGATTCTATACTCCAGGCGAGGCAGAGGCTCCCGAGAATCCTGCAGCTCCAGCTGCCGCATCCGGCGATTGGGGCTCCGGAGGCTGGGGTCGCGGCGATCGCCGGGGACATCGCAACGATCGCCCCGCCCCTGCGGCACATAACCCCTTTGCTGTTCAGCGGCCCTGAGTTCGTCCGCCAGCTCGTGGTGGAAGAAGAGGACGAGACCCAGAACTCCCTCCTCGTCATCGACAATCGCGACGATCGGGTGATCTCCCCGTTCCAAAACTGGCTCGCCGAGGAGATCATCTCGAATGCCGCCAGCTCGATCAATGTGCTGACGGAGCGAGATCTGGTCATGCCCCCGAACTCGGGCTACCATTGCTCGCTGTTCGCGAACTACACCCTCGATGGCATCAAAGCAGTTCTGCTGTTCTCGATGACTTCGAAGACTGGGGGCCCATGTGCTCAGTGGGACTCCTATGCGAGTCGGGCGCTATCGCACCCGGCTTTCCAGCCTTTCACATGGCCGGTGATGTTCGACACCTCGGCCACCTATGTGGATGTGAAGGTCTTCAATGGGAACGAGGTCCTTTTCCACTGGGTGTTCCGAGGATACCGTTCGGACTCGGACCTCTCTGTCCAGCAGCAGTTCTGTGATGAGGTCCTGATCAGGACGGCCAACGAAGGGTGGTTCCGCCCCTCGATCGTCATCTCGGTCTTCGTGGGATGGAAGGTCTCAGTGACTTCGTTCGAAGTCGGAGCCCGAGTCTACACGATCGGGCCAAGAGGAGCGGTAATGGCGAGTGATCATGCCATGAGCACTTGCGAGCTCCGAGTTACCGATCGTGCCTCGAGAGAGGGCTATGGCAACGATGCCGATCGTGTTGAGTTCCGGTTCCGGGACGCGAACAGCAGGATCGATCTCAAGTGCGGGCGGACCTCCGTGCCAGGCACCTGGCTCACGGTCAGCCACATCTCGGGGCCCGCCTTGATCAACACGATCCAGGCCTGCCGTAACCAACGTGCTCGCGTGGAAGGCCCGGACCACATCCAGCAGTTCGCGCAGCTCTCTGCGGTGATCGGCCCCTGGTACCGCAGCGCGTTCGCCGGCGAGCAGGAGCCAGTGGGTACAGCGACGGATGAGTTCCCAGTCGATCAGGGGAACTTCCATGTGAGGGCTCGATCCAAGCTCAAGGTTTGCCCGCTTGCGGCAGGAGGCGCTCGCCCACTCTGTCACCTCGGCGCTCACGAACATGCCCACCTCGGCTCAGCAGGTGTTCAACCAGAGGGTGAGCACTGTTCAGGTGCCGACCGAGGGCGAGCTGGAAGAGGCGCAGATCGCCGAGCAGGTCGTCACGGAAGCCCGCGATCGCATGAGGGCTGACATGCGCTTCTCGCGCACTTCGGCTGCGATCACGCCGCAGGTCTTCACGGACGTCCTCCACGATCGGGAGCAGGCGGAGTATGAGCGGTTCAGCACAGTCAGGGTGGAGAAGACGGGCCCGGAGATCGCCGCCTCGTCCTCTAACCCCGACATCGGTGCCGAAGGCGTTCGCCCCGGCTTACCCGCCGGCCAGATCGACAACGGGACCCTACACGATGGACACCTCGGAGTAGTTGTCGATCGAAGCCTAGGTGATGGTCGGTTTTTGTGCACGCTCCTAAGAGAGTGGTGCGCCGCGCGACCGAAGCCTCCTGGCTGATCAGCCGGGCTCTTCCGCGGAACAAACATGCCGAGCGATCCTCTCGGCGCGCTAGATCCCAGCGCATGTTCTGCTGGAAGTGAGATTGATCAATACCTGTCTCAGGCACGGTTACCATTAGCAGGCACGTGCGTGCAGCTGTTCAGGCCCAGCATGGATAGGTCCGTTCGGAAGATCCTATCCCTCCCCCTGTTCGGGGATGAATTTTGCCAATGGTTGGTGGATCTTCGGATGGCTCAGTTCGAGAAGCTCACGGCTGTTTCGGACGGGACGATCGCTGAGTGTGTGCAAGCGTTCGTTGATCTAGTCCCTGCCCTCGAGGAACTCCACACGCCAGATCGGCGGAAGAACGAGGAGGAGCTCGGCAGGTGGGTCCCGTCGATCGAGCTGTTGTTTGTGCTGGTTCGTAGCACGGCGGCAGCGGGCTGGGCTGATCTGGCCACTGATCTGGGATTCGGCCTAGCTGAAGCTCCGGTCGTCTTCGGGCGATCGCCACTGAAGTCGAAGGGGACTGGCAAGGAGCCTCCTATGCCATTGCCGCTCGCTAAGAGGCCGCGGGCGATCGAGCCGAGGCCTGAAGATCCACAGGCATCGCTTAAAGCTCGCGAGCTCGGCGAGGCACGGAAGTGGGGCATGAGGCTGAAAGCGATCGTGGAGAGGTGCGGCGAGCACGCCGCGATCGCAGGCAACCCAAAGCCAGGGTCACCCCTTTCTCATGATGAGATGAATGCCTTGAGGCTGATCGTCTTCGAGAGTGGCGGTTTCCGCACTATCCAGCAGTGCGTTCGTCACTGGGAGAGGATCGAGACATGGGCGAGGTCGCAGAACCTCGTGGTGATCCCGCTGACTACCGACGTGCTCGTCAAGTACCTCTTAGATCTCTCCGATCGAGGTTGCGGCCCCACCGTCATACCTTCGGTACGTGGGGCGATCAAACGGGTCTGCAAGCGGATCGGCTTGCCGTTGCCCGACCTCCTCGATCCCCGGATCATGGCCTTGCAGAAGAAGGTTTACGGCGATCGCGGGAAAGAGACGAGGGAAGCAGTTCCCATCCCGCTGATCTTGGTGGCGGCGCTCGAGCGGTTTGTGTGCGCTCGTTTTAAGTCGAGCCAGTTCCCCATGGCGTTCTTTGCCTGGTGGGTCCTCGTGATGATCTACTCGTCCCTCAGGTTCGACGACGCGCTCCACGTCGTGCCCGAGGCGCTCGCCCTGAAGGACGAGGCTCTCTATGGGGTGGTTTGGCAGACTAAGGTCGATCGACAGAAGAAGGGAACGCGATTCACGGCGGCCAGAGTCTCCGTCTCCGGATCCGACTGGATGGAAGACGGATGGCACGCGGCTGCGTTCGAGATGGACGATCGCGACTACTTCATGAAAGAGCTCGAATCAGCCGAGCGATTCGCCGATCGACCCGCCAGCTACCAACGGAGCATCCTGTGGCTGCGGTACGTGCTCACTACTGCAGCTTCGGACGATCTGAAGCGGGGGCACATCTCGCCTGAGCGGCTCAAGGAGCTCCTGAAGATCGTGCCGGAGATCACCTGGCACTCCTGCCGGGTCACGCTGCTCTCGGCGGCGGTCCAGGCGGAGGAGCCCGATAAAGAGATAGGGCTCCAAGCGAACTGGAAGGATCCGAGCCAGCTGGTCCTGAAGTACGCTCGGAGCCGCAAAGAGATCTCGATCGAGATGGTCAAGCGGCTCACGAAAAGGATAGCGTCCGACTGGAAATCTCCGCCAGAGTTCGAGGCCGACGACACCAATCTGGTCGACTTCGGAGATCTCGCTCTGACCTATGTCACCAAGGCTAGATCGGCTGCGGGGTCCTCAAAGGATCTGAGTCTTAAATATCATGCCATGTATATAGATGGTACGGGCACGGAGCGAACGCTCTGCGGCCGGTACGCGATCACCGAGTGCGAGGACCTCGGCGAGATTCCGCCGAGTACTCAGATGTGCTCGTTGTGTTCCGGTAAGATCTTCACGGAGCCGTGAACACAGCTGTTCGCAGTCACGATGGCCGTTCGAGTTGAGCCTTTCCCTGACCAGAGCTTCTCTTCTCAGACAGCTCGTTAGGCAGCCATGGTGGATCGCACCGCATACGCGAATGAGGCGGCGACCCCGAAGTTGAACCTGCGCCAGATCTTCGGGAGACAGGGGCTGGATCCGGCCCTCTGCAGGCTTTCGGCCGACAAAGGTCTCCTCACGGTCGAGATGTTCGCAATGCTAGGGCAGGATCTCACCTC